CGAGAGTCCGATTCGGCACCCTCCGCTCTGACGCAACCCCCCCCCTCCCCGCCCCCCCCGACCTCCCGGGCGCACCTCCGCCGCCCCTGCAGCGTCACCGCGCGCCTTTGCGAGCTGAGCTGCCTCGATAGCCTCGGCCTCGGCCGCGGCCGCCGCCGCCGCCGCCGCCGCCGCCGCTGCCGCCTCAACGCCCTCCTTTCGTGCTGCCTCCGCGTCCGCCTCTCCGCGTGCGCGTGCCTCCTCCTGCTCCGCCCAGACAGCCGCCAGCTCCGCTGCCCTCGCCCTCGCCTCCGCCTCCGCCTCTCGCGACCTCGCCAACTCTGTCTCCGCCGCGGCGAGCTGCGCCTGGGAGGTTGGGGGGAGGGGGGAGGGGGGGGGTTGGGTCAGACAGGAGGGTGCCGAATCGGACTCTCGACGTCTCGACCGCGCCTCTCCCCATCCTTGCCTGTCTAGTCTCCACCTCGGCGCGCCTCAGCATGTTCGGTCGCCTCCCGCGCCGCAGCAGCCACTGCCACTGCCTCGGCCGTCACCCGCGCCTCCACCGCCTCGTCCCTCCGTCTCGACTCCTCTTCTTCCAGCTCTGCGCGCAGCGCTGCGACGGCAGCCTCGGCGGCGGCGGCCGCCGCCGCCGCCGTCCTTTCCACCCCCGCCGCCGCGGCCTCTGCCGCCTTCTCCGTCGCCGCCGCCACAATGTCATCGTGGTCCGCGCGCAGCTGCGCACCCTCCAGCTCGATCGCCGCGAGTGCCGCCTGCGCGCGCCTCAGCTCCTCGACCGTGCCAGCCGCCGCAGCAGGTGCCTCCCCCGGCGCCGCGCGCGGCGACGGCGTGGCTGCTGATGCGGCTCCCTCGGCCTCCACTGCGGCCTCCACGGCGGCATCCTCCGCTTCTGTGGCCTCCGCGGCCGTCACCCTCGCGGCCGCGGCACCCTCCGCCTCTCTCCGCAGTGCTCGCTCCTTCTCCACGGCGGCCTCCGCCGCCCTTGCACGGCTCGCCGCCACTGCCGCCGCCGCTTCTGCCGCTGCCACGCGCCCCACCGCCGCTGCGACAGCCTCCTCCGCCGCCACGGCGCGCGCATCGGCGAGGACCTTACCCTCCCGCGCCGCTGTGGCCGCGATTATGATAGGCCGGATCTCGGCTCGCCGTTTCTGCGTTGCGAGCCTCTCTCGCCACAGCGCGACCCGCCGCTGCAGAAGGAATGTGGCAAGAATCTGCTCGCGCGTGCCGATCAGGCCTAGCTCGGTTGGGTCGTTGGGAGCGGACTCGAAGAGCGGCGCGCGAGAAGGAGGGGGTGGAGGAGGGGGTGGGAGTCGTGGGGCCATATGCACACATTTCTCGAACTCTGTGTGCGCCGTTCACAGACCTATTCATTGTAGAAAATACCCCCGGATGGCGGCTACAGCTACACTACAGAGCGCAATCCAGATCACTGTGTGTGTGTGTGTGTGTGTGTGTGTGTGTGTGTGTGTGTGTGTGTGTGTGTGTGTGTGTGTGTGTGTGTGTGTGTGTGTGTGTGTGCGCGCGCGCGCGCGCGCGATCCCAACGGGGGGAGCTGGTCCCACACTTAGTACTCTCTCTTAGTAACTCTCTCTCACTCTCAGTAACTCTCTTTCAGGGGCAGTAGGTGGGCGAGCTTCAGGCGCGCTCATCTCGAACGACAAGGCGTCGCTACGCGTGGTCTTCCGCGGGGGAGCTTCGTCGACGGGTGCGGGACCGCGGCGTGCAGCCAGTACCGCGGCGATGCCTCCGGCTGTTGCGGCGGGCGGCTTGCTGCGCGCTGCGATGGCGAAGAACTCGCTCGTCTCGTCACACACCAAGAGCGTATGCTCTGGCGAGACGTGAGGGCGCCGTAAGGGGGAGGGCGCATGCGTAACGACGCTGCTAGAGAAGTAGAGATGCCTTACCGGGCCCCAGAGATAAAACTTCGGATGCCAAGCGTGACCTAGTAGTGCGCCCCACGTTGGAGCCAGGCGTCTGTGCGGGTGGGGGGGTATGGTCGCGGCGCCAGGGCCGTGACGCCACCATACCCTACCCCCTAAAAACCTCGAATCCAGGCCCTTTGCGAGCGGCGCCGCCTCACCGGCCCTCGCCAACGCCTCAAAAGTGGCGCAGAGTGAGGCGGCGCCCCGAGCGAGCACGTGAGCCCCGTGGCTCCAACCGGGCCCTTCCTTTTTTGAGCAAGTGTGCCGCCGCGCGAGCGACGCTCCGAGATCGCCCGAGACAGCGGGGCCCGACGTTGGTTGGGGGGGGGGGGGGGGCAGTGGCGTGGAGTGGAGCTCCGAGATAGCGACATCCGCCA